ATCTTTATTTTCCAGAAACTCACCAGCTCCACCACAAACACCAATTGGTCCATCAGCGCCAATCTTTTTGAAAGATTTAAAGAATTCACCATTAAAACCTGGTTCACAAATTATATTAGAAGCACGAGTTGTTGGTTGTCCGGAACCACAGGTGGAATGGCTAAAAAATGGATCATTACTTAATAACTATCGGTTTGTTTGTTTGTTTCTTTCTTTTAATTCTGAATTATATGAGTTGATAGCTTTTTTTTTTTCTTTTAGCATTAAAAATTTGATATTTCATTGAAATTTTATATGGAAAATTGTTTGCAATCATTAAATTGATCGGAAAATTTAATATGATGTTATCAATGATATTTACATTTTACGGGAAGTATAAAATTGTTGTTAGGTAAGAATTAATTGAAAAAAATGTTATCACATTGTTAAAATAATTAATCCATTTAGCGCTCGGACAGTTTCTTATTATCACTTTAGAGAATTGTCCTTAATAGATATTATTTAGGAGTAGGTGACGTGAATCGATAGTTTCACGTTCTAACATTTCTTTACGTCATTTCTTGCTTAGTATATGAGCGGAGAGTACTTGTTTTTATCGGGAAAAATTTTCATTATAATGAATTTTTGACAATTCATTGCTTTGAAAATATTCAAAACGTGCGAGTCACGAAAGTTTCTGCAAGTTAGCATTTATAAAACATTAGTACTATCATCAAACTGTCTTAAAATCTTTGGTTGAATATTATTTTCTCGAGAACAATGAAATGCAAATGTAAAACTTTGATCACCATGATCATCTTTATTGGGACGAAAAAAGTATGACAGTAATTCTATCTTCTGTTAGTAACGTACAGTACGATTAATTGTAGGAATACTTATTATTATATATTGTGAACTTGTTATTGAATGACTTATGTAATATAAATTTCATTGTAGCAACTTGTTTGAGATAAAATTTGCCTTTACAACAAATTAAAATAAAAATCAAAATAAAAAATTAAAACTGGTCATTGATTTGAGCAATTGTTATGTCACAAATTATACATGAAAAGCTGTCCTGCCAGGAAGGAATTAAAATTCAAATAGCAGCTGTTCAAATTATTTAAATCGCTGCTCAGAAAATATTCTCTTTAAAAATGTTTAATTTTTGGTAGTTCATTTTTTTTAAGCAATCTTGTGGAAAGCGTTTTTTTTTTTTTTT